ATGTGCTTTTAAAGATGCACACAAGCTTCTTTCTATGGCAAATTCAACGGCTGAGTAGAAAATGTTGGCAAGGCCCGGCTAAGCTGCTTTGGAACTTGCTCAATTTAGTTATGGTTGCCTTCTCGTTTTTGTTTTTATTGCTACATGCAGCAGCCTCCTTTATTTTTCTGCACTTTCTATGCGCTGTTTTGTATTCATGTGTGCTGTGAGGGCGCGTGCGGGTCACTTACTCGCTTGCTTGTTAGCTCATTTTTGATTGTCCTCTTTCACGTTTTGGCCTCGGGTTATTTACATTGCTTAGCTCAACTCAAAAGATGCTATTTTCATTTGATATGGTTTCATTTTTCTGYTTTATGTTTATTGTTGTTGTCGTATTATGTTTTTATTTGAGGCTTCACAAAGGCATAGTTGTTATTTAACAACTTTGCGAGCGGGTTCGTTATGTATACATTTGTATATATCATCGCTCTCTTGCTAAAAAGTTGCTTCGTGATTCATTCTAGAATAGTATCAAACCTTCTCCTTTAAGTCATCTGAAATCGATTAATGTATTTCGAAGATACAAATATATATTTATCAACCTAAGAACTCTTTGATTTAACTCAAAATATTATTTCGCTTAACTTTTTCTTCCAAAATATTGCAGGTAATGTTGCGAACTTCAAAGCTGAAGAACGATCTCAAACTGTAACAAAATAAACTAAAAGGTGAAATTTTTTCGACTCCTAAAAAGGTGTTTGTTGCGTTCAGAACGCATGTTTTGGAGACAACTTAATTATAGTGGCCAAGTGCTTTGAAAATGGATTCAAATACATGCAAGAGTGTATAGATCCTAATGAAGAATATTTCGAAGAACAATAAAGCGATTTGCGATACTTACAATTTGTTTTTTGTTTTTTATCTGGAATCGCGACATATAAAAGTCATCCTACGTAAATTAATTCTTCTAAAATAGACGCGAGATACTTACTCATTTCTTCAATAAAATTTTAGTTTCTTATATTGACTTGAAAGTTTATTTTTTACCAACATAGGATTAAATGAACTCCAGTATAGTATGCGTGCTTTCGCGTGACTAAATTAAAATTAAAATTATAATTTTCCATTACACTGATTTGCAGAATAAATTACATGAAGATTATATTCATATAATTCGTCCTTACGAGCAGCTACGTATAGTACTATATTTTCTTGCCACACGTACTTCAATTTCATCATTTGTTTCACTATTTCCGTATTTTTTACGTACGTGCTTATATTCATGAGTGTTATTTTTTACGATTTCTTTCCGTTGCTTTGTTTCTATTCTTTAAAATAGCGRTATACGTTCTTGTGTGACATGTGTCAATCAATTCTTTTCGCTGACATCTCCAGAGCTGCGATGTGCTGAATACCAAATGTAAAAAAATATTATTACTTGATTTAGATTTTTATGACGAATGTGAAGAAACGCGATGCAACAAAATGTAATAACATACTTATACGAAGTTAAACATATATTTATATACACACATATGTAGTATGGATTACTCCTTTTTTTCTGCATCAAGCGCCTAGAAATGCGTGAGCGTGTCCCATTTTTATTGCCGGATGTGCTTGGGTACTTGAGCGTAATAATAATGATGAGGATTAAATATTAGAAAGAATAATTAAGTACACATTAGGCATTATGGCTATGTAGAGAATTGATATATGTATAAATCGTAATATAGTTTAGAGTTAGTAGTTTTAGCAAAGCTTGTTTTACAAATGAAAAAACTACTTTATGCTTAGTTGCCAACAAATGCAGTAATTTAAGTAAGTTTCCACACAAAAATTTAAACACTATGAACTCAGCATACTTATATGCATATATTTTAAAAAATATTTGTCTTTAAACTAAAAAAATTTTAATTGATTTTTAAGCTACAAATATTTTCCTTTAAATGTGCTTAAAAATATTTCGAAATTTCTTAAACATTTTTCATAAATGTCACTAATGAATTATCTCATTATTCACCACTCACTTTCAAAGTTTTAGAACGCTCACTATTTATTTTTTATTTTCTGTTATATTATATTTTTAAATTTTATTTCAATGCAATGCAATGCTCTGTATTAAGCACTCTTAGAATTGCGTGTTAGAAGCTCAAAGCAACAAATACACGAATGATAGTTACAGTAGAAAAAATATGCATATGTATATATTATATTTATTAAAGGAAAAATTTAAAGCGAACATTTGTAAGTGACTGTAAATCGAAAAATAAAGCTAAAACATAAAATAAGTTAAATGGTACAAAAGTCTAAAATTTTACTCAACAAAATGTTACGTAATATACAGGCATAATGTATAAAAGAGCGTAGCCGGATTTTAGGTACCAATTACGGCTTTATTTATAAAGAACTGGGTTATATTAGGTTAGGTTAGATTAGATGACTTCTTTYCACCTCATCTTCTTCCATACAGCTTCGGCAGATGACGTCTGMTAGTATTCGTTAGAAAACCCACAACAAGGGATATTCTATCCTTTCTGAGTTCAAAGAGATCACTAGATTGCGATCGATCTTGGTGGGTCATCGCTGAATAAGCTTTCGATAAGTTCAACTATTTAGTAGTAGAACAAAAGGGATACGGAAGCACGGATTTACTCCCATTTTATCAATAGTGGTTCTAGCGTGGCTTTTCTTGCTAGCTAATCTACAGTTTCCTGCGATTCAGCTATGGCTTGATACGCATGCCAGTTTATCATAAAGACACTTATTGCTATTGATAGCGAAGTTAGACAGCCCTCAGCGCAGTTTTAATGCGTTTAAGACTAGTATCGTCACTCTGCTACCTGAGTGGATGGCCACCTTTTTGAAGGAAGCTGCACTCCGGAGCAATAAATCTACTGCTACGTTAATGGCTGCAACCACGGCCTGGCCTGGAAGACACTGCAATAGTCAGGAAGTCTTAAACTGGAGTTAATACTCCTGATACTAAACCCTTTCACAAACCTCCACTAAGGTTTGAACAAACCGTGAAGAAGCTCACAGTCCCTCTCCTCTAACGACTTCTTCCCACCCACAATTTCCTCATCGGTATATGGGTAGAGAGGAGCCACCAGGATCCGGTATGAAGTTAAAGTGAGTGAGGCTTTCCGAGTGTTCTGACCCGTTTTCTCTTAGGAACCCAGACTCTCTGAGTCTGATGGCAACTTTCGCAGCCATAAACCATCCGGCGATGTCCACGGGCAATATGTGTAGGATGACGTTTAGTGACATTGTTGAAGTGCGCCTAAGTGCCGCACACATGTTGATGAGCGCCGCTCGTTTAACGCTTTCGAGTTTCTTTTCTAGTGGGTCTCCACTAGATAAAGACTCCATAGAATATAAAGCGTCATAGAGCCAGAGGACCACTTTCGGTGATAGACCTCGCCTTTTTCGGCTTCCATGAAAGCTTCCTATCCAAGATAATCCCTAGATATAATATTTCATTGTATCTGCCGGGTGCAGACGGCAGCCATCTTCTAGTGAATAAAATCATCTCGGTTATGTTTGGGTTAATAGCGAGACTGTTTACGACTGCTCAATTTCTTACTACGCTGAGGTACCCCCGTGTTAATTCGTAAAAACTTTCCTTTGACCATAAGCGCTACATCATTTGCATAGGCAATCACCTTGCAGTCACGATTTTCAAGTTTTTTAAACAGGTCGTTAACGATCAGTATCCATATAAAAGGAGGGAGAACTCCACCTTGTGGGATTCCTCTACTGACATTTCGTTGAGCAAGTGCGTTTCACCATTCCGCTAGAATCACGCTGTCGCACAGAAGACTAAAAATGAGGTGCTTGAGATTTGATTCAAGMACAAAACCGTCGTTACTGAGAAAGGTTCCAACAGTGAATTCCTTAAGCCTCATATCTTCCTCAAGTCATGATACTCTAGTATGCAGGACAGTATCTACTGACTTGCATTTACAATAAGCATGTTGCGCTCCTGATAAATGGTCGCTCGGAAAGCGCCTCTTATTTACCAGTCTACAAAGTGATACAGAAACGCAAAAACAAATTTCTTTGGTGAATTTTTAAGAAATTGCTGAGTTAAAAATGTTGCGAATGTGATTTTGTCAATCGTAGGAAGTCTTATTAAAGCTTCATTTTTTTATTATTTTTGTTTATATACTAAAAACTATTAATTATTATAATTGTTACAACAAATTTCGCATTAAGTCTTCCTTGAATAGCTATAGCGACAAACCATAGAAAATAATTTAAAAAAAATAAAAAAATTGCAATAATTTACACTTATGAATATACAAATCTTAGTACTAACAACTATACCTTCTGCTCTTCTTCTTTTCTCTTTCTCTCTATCTCTGTCCTCCCCATCGCACCAACTTCCCGAATGAACTGTGTTTGCCTAACGTCACTAATATGTTGCAATGCCAAATTTCTAAAAAACACTAATAAAAAATACAAATTACACACACCTTTCCATATATTAAAAAATGCAATTAACCAAATTTATTAATTATTAACTACCGTTTGTAAAAAAAATATACACAACCACTAATTCCCAAATGAAAACCACCACAAATTGCACAACACAATTCTTTCACACATACCTTTTCCCGTAAACCATTAAATATTTATTAAAATGCCACAATTTTAAAATATGTTTATAAAAATTATTAAAATAATTAAAAAAATTTAAAATATTTAAAAAAATATTAAATGAAATAATTAAACTTATTTAAACGTATACACTTGTACAAATATGCTTCACACCAATTAACAAAATAATACAACAATTTTACAATAAAAATCGATTACAACAACTGCAACTGTTGCAACATTAAATGCGCGCTGGCTTGTATGTGATTACAAAAACCTTTAATGTATCAACTACTAAATACTCGCATATACTGCTGTGTAAAAAAAACAACAACTACAACAACTCAACTCTACATATTGCACAACAATTTGTATGCCAACAACAACAACTATTGCACTGTACATACTACAACCACAAACAGGAAGGTATTGAAGTAAGTACCGTTACCATACGCCTTCGTCGTCTCCGTCGTCATTGTCAGCAACATTGTTCCTTGTGTTGTTGTTGTTGCTGTTGTTGTTGGTTTCAAGTTCTTTGTTAACTAATTTTTACATTTTAGCATTCTACTTTGCTGTTATTTTGTTTCGCTTCAGCGAGTTTTACAGTTAAACTTGGTTATTTACACTTTTCTTAAGCGTTCGTCTACTAATTTTTTTATATTTCCAATTGTTGCATAATTATTTTTGTTACATGCCGCTGTATATATTATGAAAAGTTAAAAATTATTATTTTGGTTCATTTTTGTAATTGCTTAAAAGTTTGAATTATTATAATTTTATTTCCAAAAAATATTTTTTTAACAAATTCATAAATAGCAGTTTTTGAAATATTATAGCTTCGATCACTCATGATAAAACATACACACTTACTTAAATATTCTAAGTAAATCACGTAATACAGCACACCGCATAGTCAAGTACTCAACATACACATGTATACTATAAATTAAATCCCTTTACATTTTGCATGCTTCCAACCATTATTTTCTATAAGTATAGTATGTTTGTATGGAAAGGAAGTAGACTAAACGATTATTTGATTGTGTTAATTCAATTACGTCTCTTAACCGTACATTTACTAATGGGTTACAAATTATCACCTAAAATGCAAAATAACATAGCACCACTTTTCATAAGTTTACAGGCGAAAGAAAAACGATATAATAGAAAGTACTCATAATTTTGAGTTTTGGCCGTAAAATGGTTATATATTGGTTATGTAATGGTTATATCTGACAGCAGAAGCTGAAAATTTCATAATAAATATATGTAATATTTTGTTTATATATTACTATGAGCAAAAAAAAAAAAGTAAGACTTTATTCTTAATTTTATAACTCTTAATTTACTCAGAGATAAAGAGATGTCCAACTTATTCCAGTGTGAGAGCGCCTCAAAATTAGAGTTTTTTTATAAAATTTTCCAATATGACCAGATCGGACCAAATAATAATTTTTGGGCATTTAAATTAAAACACCCAATATTTAGTACGAAAAAAAATTACTATATGGTGGTTATTTAATATATAGAGAAACTATTTAAATAATTTATGGTATGTTAAAACAACTGACTTTTGACCTTTTAAAACCCAATAAAAGCGTTTAGCTTTTTCCCCTGAACTCGATCAACCGTCAAAGTTCAGGAGGTTTTGACGTTTAACAATTGTTCTCTCATTTCCAATGAGAGAGGAGTTAGACATCTCTTTATCTCTGATTTAGTCTTTAAAATCTATTCCGTCCCTCTCTCAGTAATTCTCTTGGCCCCAATACAATCTCCGAAACAGCTGTTAAAGTCAATTTCTGAGAAAGCCTTCCATGCACGTGCATAGGTATTCACGTTTAATATTTTATTTTTATTTAATATTTTAATTATTTTTATTTATTTAATTTAAAAAATTTGTATAGTAGTTCTCCATTAGTCTGTAAGAATTAATGTTCATAGACTTAACTAAATAAATAAAATTAATAAATAAATAATGTCTTCAATTGACTCAAACCAGTTTCTTCGGAGCGGTCGCTTGAGTTGTCTACAGCCAGCCGTCGTTTGCTGAAACTTTCGAAGACACAATGCAGTATGTGACAATGCATTATCGTGGTGCCAAAACTTAGAGTTGTCGGCCCATAATTCTGGCCTCTTTTTACGGTTAGCGAATCCGCGAAAACGACGCATAATTCACATAGTATTCTTTGTTGTCATTCTGACCAATTGGAAGGAGTTTAGAGTGCAGCACACCCCGATAATCCAGGTAAACTGTCAACATAACCTCGATTTTTGACCTGCTTAGACGTGGTTTTTTCGGCTTCGGCTTCGGCTCACTTTTGCCACGATATTTGGCCGATTGATCGTCTGTCTCTGGATCATAAGCATTAATCCAAGACTCATCTAAATAGTACATTTCACGATATCTTGGTGGTCGGAAAGCATTGTTTCACACATGTTAACGCGACAGTACTTTTCCAAAAAAAAAAATTTGTGATTTTGGAACTAACCGTGCTTTCCTTTTCTTAGGTTCAAATAGTATTTCAAAATGGTTTTCACTGATCCTTCCCATATTCCAACGATGCGAGTAAAATCTCTGACTGCTAATCATTGATTCTCAAGCACCAATTCATTTATTTTAACTTCATGGTAATCAATATAATTAAATACAATTCCTAATGATAATTGAACAGTTTTATGTATGAATGAAGCTGAAGCTCCTGAACTGACTACTTCCAAGAAATAAGCTAATATAATAAAACACTTAATTAATAGGACATCTGGAAGAGAGCTTTACCTAGAAAACAAACATACTTAATAGAAGAAGTTCGAAAAGTATGAGTAACAAGTTATGAGTCTCAAGGTAAACTCCTGAAATCTCTCCTTTCTCAATATAGGCTTTTTTTATAATACAATTTTATTTTCAAATTCCCTCACATCAGGAAGGCAGATATTTTTTTATTATATTGGTAGTACAACATTTGACAAGCAATTGTTTGTCAAAATTTTTAACTGGCCCTTAAAGTTGAAGCCACTGACTACAAATTTCGGCAGTAAATTTTAATAATTTTGCATCGTATATCTTTCCATGAGGAAATGGCAAACCTTATTGAAGAAGAATATCAAAAGATTGGAAAAATGTACACCTCATTTCCTGTCYCTATTGGTCTACTTACACATATTTTTATAGACAATCATAAAGGATTTTTTCGATTTTTACAATGGTTGATTTTGAAGAGCAAAAAACTAAATTTTGTTTGTGGAAAGAATTTTACTGTGTGGGCACGTTGGAAATTTTTCCAAAGTTCTTTGAACATCAAATTATAGCACAAAAAATTAGGTTTATAAGTGAGGCAAAAAGTTCAACGTGGACCGATAACACGTTAATTGCGAACCGAGCTTTGGACGAAATCAAAAAAATCATCGATTGACAATCAGGGACATAGTTGATAGTGTTGGAATATTATTTGGCTCAGCTTAAGCCATTTTAAAAAATGGTTTGTGTTTCAAATACGTCTAATCTCGATTTCTTAGCGACAGTTTTCCCAAAAATTCGTTCATATTCGTCTAATTCTCTCTCTTGAAATTTAAAACTTAAAGACAAAACAATAATGAAGAAATATAAATTGAATCAGCTATACCGGAAAAAACTATTCTGACTGTTTCGAGAACTGGAAAGAGCGTTAAACAATTTTTATCGTGCGGTGATTACTTTGAATTGATTTAAAGAATTAATAAATAATTAATATTCTACGAACAAATTCACCTTACTTCTTGAGCGCAGTAGTATGATTATTCTTGACAACTTCCCAATGCCTTTAAATTCCAACCAACTTTGCTTCAGAGTTTTTTATTTGCAATAACTTCCAACATGTCTGTTCCACTTTGTCCAACAAATTGCTTCATTATGTGCGACAAGCAGTGAAAGTTGTTGTCGATAAAAAAGCCAAGTTGTAAAATTATATAAATGTACTCGAGTTGGTAATATGTTGCAAGAATAACAAAAACAAAGATGAATAATAGCCATTAATTTGCAGCACAGGCTAATGCAAACATACATACATACGCCATATGAACAAACATTGACTTCTCGGCTATAAAAATATCATTAGCACATATTCTGCGAATTTATCTTTGGTGCCAAACAAAAAATATCATAAAATTACGACAAACAGGACAGGACGACAGGAAATTTAATAGAGCTGCGGAAAGGTTTTAAAGTAGCACTTGTGAGTGCTGGCGGCAGATTGTCAACTTTCTGTAGCAGCGTTTCAGGCGTAAAACCCGCGTGAGTGCTGGTAAATTCCGAAAGACTGCAATAAAATAGGTACCGTAATGTACTTCATTAAAATGAAAACAAAAGGAAGCCAAAGCCATGCCAGTGAAAATGTGAGAACAAATTGCGTACAAAATTACTTTTGTTTGGCAAAACAAATAAATGCTTTTCTCTTAGGATAAAGAGTGCAAGCATAACAAAAGCTGCACAAAAGTGAAAGTAAACATAGGAAAGGGTCTGCTTGTTGAAATATAGTATATATATACATTTTTTTTTAGTTTCAGCGGGTTTCCGTTAGTAGAGCATTTTTGACAGCAGCAACTTGAGGTTAAAATAAACCTTTTTGTTTTTAATTTTATTTATTTCTAATTGGATCAAACCGATATTTTAAGTTTTTTCTCGCATTGCTTCCTAATGCATATTTTTCTAAAATTTTTCAAATAGTGTTTGTAAATTCATTTTGATATGAGAATTTAAATTAAATTTTTTATCACAGTGCCATCTAAATTCAATTGGAGTGTCAAATATCGATATAAACTTTATGTGGGATCTAGGAGATATGGATAAATATTACTCATTTTAGGGTCTATTGGCAGATTAAGCGACAAAAACAAAAAAGATGATCAGGATCGGACCTGTGTGCGACTACGAGATTATTCTAACTTAGAGTAGAATGTAAACGATCTATTAAATTACTTGTCCCAGCCAAAGTTTATCAGGCCGTAATCGTAAAAGTTCTTACTGATCATTGTCCAATAGGCATCCAGGTAGTTAAGCTAAAAATGTTTTCAATGTTGCCAAAGTTGTATGTAGTCCTAGCATTCATTATTGGATAATATTCGGCCGAATAGAACACGTCCCGCATGCGGTGAAGAAAATATAGCAGCCATACCTGAGAGTGTACACGAAGGCGATGGAGGGTCGATTCGGCGCCTTTCGCAGCAACACGAACTGACGTATGGAACGACTTAGTGTATTTTATTTTGAGATCTTAAATTGATAACGTACAAAATACAGCTAATACAAGAACTGAAGCTGCTCGACTGTCTCAAGTAGCATCGCTTCGATCTATCGACTCTTGAAAAGTTCGATGAAGATCCGATGTTTTGAAGCCAAATTTTGTTCATCTTATTTCTAGTTTAATGGCTAGGTAAACAACCGAAATTGCTGCATTTGGGA